GAAAACTTTATATTTTGAGAAAAGAACATTCATTTTGACTGACACTTGTAACGTATTTTAATGATTATCAAATGTATTTATCGGAAAATTTTAACGTTGAAAATTTAGTAATTTGATTTTTCGGTAAATATCTAGAAATGAGTCAAGAATTCAGTAAAATGATCATAAAACTTGATCAATATGTCATGAAGATGAACTCTCTTAGGTTTATTTTAGTTTTATAGAAACGTATTTGTAGCTATAATCAATGTTTCTAAATGAAAATTTAAAACAAGATATACATTTACCCATTGTTTATATAAATAAAACATACATATAGATGGGGTTGAGCAGTCTGGCCGGAAGCCCCATTTTGATAGAGTCCTATTGTAAGGATAAAACCTACTATTGTCCGGGTCATATGAGAGCGGATATCAGATAACCCTAGATTGGCCTGAACAACACCATGTTTTATCCTTACGATAGTAAAGAAAACTTACCAGCTCACCTACCAGCTTATACGAGAAGCTGGTAGGTTTTCTTTACTATTGTAAGGATAAAACATGGTGTTGTTCAGGCCAATCCAGGGTTATCTGATATCCGCTCTCATATGACCCGGACAATAGTAGGTTTTATCCTTACAATAGGACTCTATCAAAATGGAGCTTCCGGCCAGACTGTTCAACCCCAGATATTCTCTCCATAGACAAAATGTATAAAAGTGTACAAAAAAAGATGAAATTTTTCAGAATTTAGAGAAATGAAAATAAAATAATGAGCATACGAATAAAGAGTCAGTCTCTATCTACAGATAAAAGTCAATATATAGTTAAAACATATTGTTGAAATCAAAAATAATTTTCAATATATTAGAAGACAAATGGTAATTTCTTCTGTGAATTGTACATCGTACAGTTTACTTTTTGTAAAAGTATAGAGCNCAAATGTATTGGAAAGTACTCGCCAGTTGAAGCTCTTTCATCCTATATATGATTGTGCTGGATATAGTATGAAAAGTCCAATGGGCCAAATTACGGTCTTATGCGCCCCCGTCCTTTCTTCTGTGAATTGTACATCGTACACTTTACTTTTTGTAAAAGTATAGAGCATTGTGTATTTCAAGAGTAGCATATGTTTTGTACATTTTACTTCTGCTATGCACACTTGCCATTAGAAACACTGACCATAATATGAAGTTGAATTGCATCAACCAGTTGAATATGTTTCTTCGTCAGTAAATTAAAATTTTATTTTGTTTTGTGTTGCAAAATTTTTAATAAATGTTCCTTTCTAATGAGTAATATTAGCCTTTAAATATGTTGAAATTTTATTCTGTTTTTTTTTAGGAAGAGGTGCAGTTGGTATGGTTTATCAAATTGAATATCAAAATATTCAATATGCCATGAAAATTTCAAATAAAAAGTCAACAAAAGAATATGAAATAGCTGAAAAAATGAAAAATTACATCAATGAACATTCACTATTAGATGTTAAAATAATGAACATGTTTAATATACAAGGTTTTATTCTATCAAGACCAGTTGGAAAATTAATGGACGAAAATCAGTTATGTCAAAAGAAATATATTACTCAAATATTCAAGCAATTAACAATTGGTCATAAACTTGGACTTGTTCATCGAGATATTCGAATATATAATTTAATATTATTTAATGATGAAGATGTTTATTTAATCGATTGGGATTCATCAACATATAATGGTTTTAATGGCGAATATGAAGGATCATTTCTGACAGCATCAACATCTGTATTGGCTGAATATGAATTGACACGTGGTAAACAAGTTTCGGCTTATTATGCTGATGATTGTTTATCGATCATTTATATGTTATTATTATTTAATTGTACAAAAGAAGAAAAAATTAAATTAAAAAAACTTGCCCGTGATAGTTCTGCTGGCATGTTAATCGTAGAACGTGAAGAAGTTTTACAACGTTATCCAAAAGAAGCTATAGATTGTCTTTATGAAATTGAACAGAAACGTGCTAGTTTAATAAATATAGATGATTTACATAATCAGTGTCAACAAATAATTAACAAATGCATAAACTTGACTTAGTTTCACAAAGTTGTTTTTTTTCTTACATATATAATCGATTTTTGTTCTTCAATTTATATTTTGTTGTTTATTAAAAAAATAAATAACATAAACGTATTCACTGATTTATTTACATTGGTGTAATAAATTCTATGAGAAAGTTTATAGAAAATACTTTGCACTCGAACATATTTTGTAAGTCTAACTTTATTACAGTGTTTGAGAGTGTTTCCCCCTTAGGAAAGTTAATTTTTCGATAACAAAATCGATTTCTAGATTTATACGTATTCTGATAGCCTTTGCGATAGGTTTTAACCTGGCATAACTATTTTTTTGTTAAAAAAAAGGTTTGCTTTTTTTTCTGACTAGTTTTTCTCAGAAGGTCAGCTAAAAAAAGAATAAATTAAAAACTTTTTTTCACTTCTTCCACATCCAGTTTTTTCTTCGTATAGCGTTTACGCGGGCAATTCTTACTCAATAACGACTCAATATAAAAGTGGTAATGTTTTCCTGTTATACAGAAGACACGCGGAACTAGAAAATAATAGAGCCGGATTTTTCAATTCCTCTTCTGTTTAAATAAGAAACTTAAGTATTTGATTTTAATTAGCGATGTTTTTGGTTACAAATTTTAGAATTTTTCAAACATTTTTTAAAAATGAAGAAAGATAAATTAAAAAAAAATCAGGCCACTATTAGGATCTAGCCCTAAAGGTACCCTACAACTTGAAAATCATTTCGACTTGCTTAGCTGAAATCCTCCTGTTGAAAACGTTACTCATGTAAAGGGTAATTTTTACCAATGAATTGACTATAACTGGTGAATATCTTGCATATTTGGGAAGATATTTTAATCATAATCTACTCTAGCCAACGCTAACATTCTCTGAAATTTTGGTTGAAATCGGATAAAAAATAAAAAAGTTTGTTTGTGAGGTGACAGAAAATACGTCAGTAACAACGCATTTTTCTAGATATAATTAGTTGACGATACTGGAATCAATAAGATTTATGTGCATGGAGCTCAGAGATTCTCTACTTAACAACAACGGTAAGAATGTCAATCTACGTGTATTATTTATTCAAAAATAGAAAAACAGGTCCATCATCATTCGAGTTGTTGAGCGTAAAGCTTCTCTATGAACTGCTCGAATATATCAATCTCGAGCAAATCCTTCATTTGTCCATCAATGTCTGCCACATCTCGACTGAATTATCTTCAACGATTTTTGTTTTCATTTCCGGGACATTCAACTGTCGTCTAAATCAAATTCTCGTATTTATCCCAGAATCGATAAAACTCAGATTATTTCATAGCATTTCCACAAATTTGTAATAAACAATTAGATATGATCGAACCCGATGAATACAATGAAATAGATGAAACCAATTGCGAAGATTTACCATGTGCTACACGATATACATATTTTGATGGTTTATGGACGCGTTTAGATGGAAATGATGCAATTAAATGTCTCAATACATGGAATGATCAGTGTCGTCAGAATAATATTTCTCTAAGCCATTATTGTATTGATCCTTATAGCCGAGATATGGGTTGTTTACCAATTAAATATGCAGCTGATACATATGTTCATTGTCTTGGTGCTACTAATGAACAATATCATTGTCAAGAAAAATATCCATTAGATTATGATAAACGATTTAAATGTTGGAATTCATCGATATGTATTAGTCCGCTTCAACTTTGTGATTGTCATGTGGATTGTCCATTTGAAGATGATGAAAATGATTTATTATGTCGATGGGGTAAAAATCAATGTCATCCAGGTTGGTATCCATGTTTGAATGGAAGATAGATATGGCGTTAACTTCGTTGTGATGATTTCTATGACTCACCATGTTCTTATGGAGAGGATGAAGCTTTTTGTGATTTAATCGATAAACCATTAGAAAAATATTTCTCCATTAGACATTTTATTGACTATGACGGAGGTATAACAGTCGAACAACATACAAAAAAATCTCAAATTCAGCAACAAAGCTTTTCTTCTTTTCCAAGAATTTCATCGGCTACATTAACATGGGCTTGTAAATATATACATAATGAATGGGCATGCACGACGTACATATATATATATATACGTATACTTTTTTTTTCGTTCTGCGACGAATCATATGAAAGTTTCTGAAGAACTGAAAAGCACTTGTACATTATAATACAGATATACTTGCTGTTTTCTTAATGCAAACAAAAATTAGAATTTATTTTGACTCATTTTGCGCCTAACTAAAAAGCTGTTAGCGCAATCTCTTACGGGATTAAAAATGTGAAACACGATGGATCTATCGTTACTAGTTAAATGGAAATCGTTTTGTTCCATTTCTTTGCGATACCTGTGTAGTTAATCATTTATCTGATGCTTTAGAACTATACTTGCTCTGCCAGGATCTGTGATGTATTCAAGCCCTGTTTGTCATGGTCTGTGATCGGTGCAAAACCTGTCTGTCACGGTCTCTAATGGCTCCAAATCTTCTCTGTCACGGTCTCTGGAAAGGGAGGGAGGGGGGGGGGGTCCATATTTCTACCCCTAAACACTTCAATACTCCTTTCAGATCTTGTTTCACAAAACGAATTCTGACTAACGAGGGAACATTTTCAACTAATAAATCGCTTTTGAATTCGAACCTAGTGAATAAGCTAAAGTTCAGTGAGATATGAAATACCTCGAAAGGATAAGTGTTTTTATGTTCTCTATTCTGAATTATAGCCATTCTGCTAGAATTTTAGCCTTAGACATGCTAGATGCCAACAAATCGAATCACGGTATTTCTACCTTAGATTTTGTCCACAAATAAGGGTATTTGTTAGTTGAATGTCTTAAAAATTTCAATGCAAAAGAATATTTTCTTTTCGAATTTTTGAAGCTCCAAAGCCACTCATATTTGACGAAAGGTGCTAAAATTTTCTACTTATTAGCACTTCAACAACTGGGGAAGAAAATATTCTGTTGAACTGAAAGTTGCAGGACATTCTACTAACAAATAGACCTATTTATAGGCAAAATTTCAAGTCGAAATATCGTCATTTGATCTATTGATATTTACCATATTCGAGACTAAAATTCTAATAAAATGCTTATAACTCTGGATGGAAGGCCTAAGAGTACTTATCCTTTTAAGATTTTCTATATCTCACTGAACTCTTGCTTATTCACTCGGTTGAAATTCAAAGGCAATTTGTTAGTTGAAAATGTTCTCTCGTAAGTTTAATTTTGTCTGTGACATGTACATTTTGTTTTCATGTTGTTTTTTCTTTGCACATGAACATATTTTTCATAACAAGATGCGAGTAGTAATATATTTGTCTTTATTTATAGATTAGTTCTTTGCTATGTTAATTTGAGATATTTTGTTATTTAGAACAAAGTATAAGCAGATAACTTGATAAAAGTACCTATTTGTATATTGCTTCAGGTTTTTTTAATGGAAGTATTGGTCATATTTGGAACCGGTCGAGGTTTATTTTCAGCGGGCGGGTTCAATTCTAATTATAATCCTGCTTGTAGCAGATTCATATTGATATGCTACTGTCAGATTTATCTCTCTGTATCTATTAAGATTTTCTCCTATGGCTTTTTAGAAATAAAATATTCTTAAGATAATACAACGTATTCGTTTCTATACAATACAATGGTCTCATTACTGTGATAAAGTTCGTTGGGCGTTGGATTTGAAAGAAATTCCCTATGAATTGATAAATTATAATCCATTCGGAAAAACAAAAGGTTTAGAAAGAGCACCCAAAACAATGCCTAAGCTCATGCCGATGATTGAAGATCCAAACAATAAAGATGATAATCAATTTCACTATGATTCAACACCGATTTTACTCTATTTGGATACTCAATATTCTCAATCATCTACATCCCTTTTTCCATCATCAAGTGAAGAACGCCAACAAGTGATTGATACATGTTTACATCTTGATTCCACATTAGGTCTTTATGCACGTCATATTGCTTATGCTCAAATACTCACAGAGAGTCCAAGTGTATTGTCACTTGTACTCCGTGAAAAGTATCCATGGGCCAATAATCCATATGATATTCGCTCACGATTATTTATTCCAGTCATCGCTGCTTTTATAATTGCTCAATACCAAGTTCATCGTATTCGTGAAGAACAAATAAAAGAAAAAACAGAGCAAATTCTTTTGGATATTGGAGATCAGTTGCGTAGAAATGATTATCTTGTCGGTAAACAATTCTCGGCAGCTGATTTAACATTTTGTTCACTTGTAAAACTACTTATACGAGCACCCTGTTTCTATGATGATCGTCGCTTTCAAATTATTTTCGATTATCATGAACGAATTCGACGAAACTACGATGTAGCCTATCCAAATATCGATAATGATCTCGAGAAAAACATAGATAAACATCGAATACAAGTAAAAATAAATGCGAAAACCTCGGATTTAAATCCGAATGTTATGTGTACTTGAAAAAGTGAAGAGGTATATTCAATTTGCTTTTTTATCATCTGAGACATATCTAGGCAATCTGTCTTCTCGATGCAGTTTTTGTGAATTTTGAGACCTTTTTCAGGCGATGTTTTATTAGAAAGTTACGATTTGGTTCAAAACTAATATCATATTCGGAATCAGCGTTAAAAACTGAGTTGATTTATATATGTTGTGAAGAATTCTGAAAAAAAAATATGTTTTTTGAAAAAATCCCTGTACCCCCCTCAGGGATGGTCTTCTCAATAATGACAATTTTTTTGATAACTCAGCCATTTCTTGACGGATCGTTCTCATCTTCGAACTCGACCGAGACATTGTTAAGACTGAACTGTATAGAAAATTTCATTGTGATCGGACTCTCCTTTCGAAAGTTATCGCGTAAACGGCTGGACGGACATACTGACCGATTCTAGAGTGTACTCACTTTTTGAGTACACAAAAAAGGAAAAAAGTATAACTACTCGTCTTAAAACATTTATTTATCAAATCAATATTGTACAACGAATTTTTATTATGATCATGATCATGATTGTTAAAAATATTTACGGACCAACAACTGATAATGACGTGCCTCAATTCGAAACATCATCATCACAGACTAAACAAGAACAACATGCATTCAACGATCAACGACGGATAAATAATAAGTCAACTTGGTCAATGATCAAATTCTTCTTCAAATATCAATGCCATTGGTTATTTACTATGCCAAATCAAGTAGCTTATTTAAATAGAAAAACATAGTTGTTATTTTTTATCATATATGTCAATAGATTCAGCAACATACTCAGAAAATTTTCCTAATCACAAAAAAACAAATCTGACATTTGATTAAGAATAATTTTTTTACTCTTTTCTTTTTATGTTATCTGCTTTTTAATTATGCTGTATTGATGTTATAAATAAAATTCGTTCTGATGAAGGAAAAATTAATTTTTGAAATTTAATTTTGTATGAACATTCTCTTGGTACATAAACATCTATAATCATTGGAAAAACTATGAATATGCTGTAGCTTCTCTCTTCAATTGACTCAGGCATAAGACAAGGACAAAAATCATATAGACACTAATGTTATGTCCTTAAAACGATTCTGTAGTTCTGATTTGCTGGATGTGGGGTGTGGATGTGAATATATTACTCTACTGCACCTACACACTTTCACAGATACATCCACGCGCACACTCCCAATTTGCATATGATATATGAGCCACGTCAAATTGGAATATCAATAGACATCAGTAAAATGTACTTTTCAAAATGCATAAACTTAATGATTCCTTTTTCCCTTCTTTTTCTGATCGGGTGAGTGTGGGCGTGCGGATGCCAGTATGACTGTGGGTTGAGTGAATATGAACTTGAAAATCATATCCACACCCACACCCTCGAAATCTAAGGTTAATTTTGCCTGACGCATATATTTATCTTTAAATATAACATGACTTGAATTGATTTATTTATAGTTAAGACATTAATTGATTGTGTAGCATTCGATCAAGCTAATTTATTCGTTAATTTTAACTGGAAATTCAAAATTATTTTTCGAGAAAATAACAAAACAAGAAAAGATTGTAAGATCATCAATAAAATTATATTTTTTATTTGTTAGGAATATCTATAAGCGATATTATCAATAAAAATTCTACTTTTTTCTTTAAATCATCAATAATAAATAATCAATAATAAAGAAGAATATATTTGAATAACAAGAAAAATTATCTCAATGGAAAATATGAAAAAAAAATACTTGATTATCTATGTATTATTGAAAAAGCAATATTAACATAAAAGTTGATAGTAGAATTGATCAAAAAAATTAATTGTAACAATTATCAACAACGAACATATCTTTTAATATATGAATTTTTTTGTATAGATAATAATTTATAAAACTTTTAAAATAAATTTAACAGAATAAAAACTCTTCGAAATAAATAAAATTTCAAAAAAAATGTCATGTCACAGTCTGTGGAAAGTAATATATATATTTATAATAAATAATAACATGCGTCTATTGATTTAAAACTGTTTTTTTTTTCCTGTGATAAAATTGAGGTGTGTCAATATTTAACTAATTATTTCTTTTTCTTTTTTCATAGATCTATGTTTATATACAATATTCAATATAAAAAAGAAATTCAATGAAATTTAATTTCTATAAATATTATATATGACAGATGATTATAAATTATTTTATTTAAATATTACATTGTCTCATTTATTAATAATTAAAATTAGATTTATTTCTATTGATTTATTGGATCGTCTAAGATTTTAAATTAAATTAAATATTTATAGAAAATAATCTTATAAAATCTATATTTATTTTTATCAATTAATATATGTTTTTAGAATATAATTAAATAAATAATTATTCAGATTTTTAAATTTAATTTAGGATATAGAAAAAAAAATGCATTTGTAATTCTATCATACATAAATAAAAGTTAAAACTGTTTAAGTAACGGATGCAATAGAATGAATGATCTGCTCCATATTTTATCTCTAATTCTTTTTTTTTTTTATTCAATAAACATGATTTCATTATAGAAAGATTCACTGTGAAATTCTCTATAAAGAAATCTATTTTATCTCGACTAATTTAGCTTTTATCATATTAAAGAAAAATAATGAATACTTTTCAAAAATAGTTATTTTATATTTTTTCATAATATGACTTTATTTGTCATATATTAGTGACCTTTTTTGATTTAGAATTTCAATTCCGTTAGCTATCAATTCAACTCAAAATATAAAAATCCAGACATTTCTGAAACATAGATAAACACAGATTGCTTTTCAATTGAAACAAACTATCAATGAAAGTTACTAAGATATGATAAATAAACCTATTTTAGGAAAAATTATAAAATAACTATTTTTGAAAAGTATTCATCACTTTTCTTTAATATGATAAACGCTAAATTAGTCTATATAAAATAAATTTCTTTATGGAGAATTTCACAGTGAATCTTTCTTTGATGAAATCATGTCGTTTGAATGAAAGAAATAAAAATTTAGAGATAAAATACTGAGATAATAAGTGATCTTAATAAACAGTATTGAACATGAATATAGAAGCATTATAAAAATCTTTGATTTATTTCAAAGAAAAGAAAAAAACATTTGTATATAATCGTCTTATATAAATAAGTAACGTTCGTCGGCTCGACTCACTTGACCCTCGACTATATTAAACAGAAGTATACAAGTCTCATCCGTGAGCAGCCACTTATAAAATAGCTGAATAAGGGAGAATTTATTACATATGTCCGATTGAATGAATTTTTAGTCTGAAAAATCGAATTGGTTGAAAGTTCAACATTAAAAGCACGAGAATCGAACATTTAGCCAACGTTTTTTTTATGACGTTTCACCTTTCATTCTCATAAAAACAGTCGAAAATGTATTTTACTTCATATAACCCTTCCTACACTCGAGAAAAAATTATCTTCTCAAAAAGCACTTCCCTCAACCTAACAAGTTCATTTCAAAATTTGAGAAACCAACTTCAGATTCGGATTCTCCGACCTTGATTTACTTTAGTCAACGTTTATAAAAATAACTGTAAGATATGGTTTTTTGATTCTGCTACAAACGCACAAACACATGAACTCTTTTTTTTTTATATGACCCTCTCTACAGTCGAGGGAATAGATTGATCATTAATTATTTTATTGACAGGATATACAAATTTCAGTTTTGACAAAGTTATTGTATTTTTTTTACTTCGAATTTTCATTGATCAATCATTTTAAAACGAACAACTATAGAATTTATTTCAAGAAAAAAATGCTATTACTTCCCAGTGAAAAATATTCTCTGATTTCAATCAAATTATTGTGCAACAAAATCCAATCCGCAATCGGATTGATAATTTTTTGATTTTAATCGACCACCATTTAACTCAAAATTAATGCTATTGCTAGCCCAATGGAAATTAGATTGATTGAAATCAGATTGTTTTCCAGTAAAATCCACATTGTCAATCGATTGGTAATTTTGAATTGGGATACAGAACAATCCGATTTTAATCAAAAAAAATTTCAATTGGGCTAGCATTAACATCAAGCTTGGGCTAAATGGTGATCGATCATAATCAAAATTATCAATTCGATTGCAGATTGGTTTTTGTTGCACATTAATTTGATTGAAATCAAAGAATATTTTTCACTGGGTTATTAATTAAGTTAAAATAATTTTTGTATTTATTTAATTTATACATTTTAATAAAATTGCAAGCTCCAAAATATTTTCTTGGCCAATGATAGAAACTTTATTTTAATCTGATAACCGTGTAAAAAGAAATTGTTTGACAAATCTTACCAAAGAAAAAACTCATTATTGAATTCTATTAAATTTCATTTTTTTTATCTGAAAAATAGATAGAATTTCTAATGCCGTTCCATTGTTGGAGTGAAATAAACATACTCGGAAAGTAGAACTGTCTTTGTACTGCTCTTGAATTGAATAAAAGATGAGTTTTTTATCCTAATAATTGAAAATTTGAAGGTCTCAAAACTTTTCTTATTTGAAAATCGAACAAAAGACGAAATTCCGTAGCGAACAGTGTTTACAAGTTTTCATTTGGTTTAATTATATATATTCTTAAAGCTTGTGGAAAATTGAACAATTTTTTATACAGAACATTTAGTTCTATGTTACTCCATTGCACAGTAAAATGTTTAACTAGTCATTTACCCTAAATAGTTATATTGTCTTTTTTTTAAATTCCATAGTGTTTGAAAGTTTTTAAATAATTCAGCTTTGATTGCGTGTAAACCGATAAAATTTTTATTAATAATAGATCTAAATAGTCTCTATATATGATAAAAATTTTAGGAAATTCGATAAGGTAGGAATATTACAATGTGAAAAAATGGAATTTTTTAACGCGTGGCTCTGCCGATATGACAATTTCATTATAATTTTCGATTTAAAAAGATTATTTCATTTGTTATACTTATTTATTGTTTATC